CGAATTTGTGACTTCAAGTAAGTTTCTCAAAGCTGTTATATTTTGTGTACTTTAACATGTTCGATCGTAAAATCATCGCATTTGTGACTTCAAGTAAGTTTCTCAAAACTGTTATATTTTGTGTATTTTAACATGTTCGTTCGTAAAATCATCGAATTTGTGACTTCAAGTAAGTTTTTCAAAACTGTTATATTTTGTGTATTTTATCATGTTCGATCGTAAAACCATCGAATTTGTGACTTCAAGTAAGTTTTTCAGAACTGTTATATTTTGTGTATTTTAACATGTTCGTTCGTAAAATCATCGAATTTGTGACTTCAAGTAAGTTTCTCAAAACTGTTATATTTTGTGTATTTTAACATGTTCGATCGTAAGATCATCGAATTTGTGACTTCAAGTAAGTTTTTCAAAACTGTTATATTTTGTGTATTTTAACATGTTCGATCGCAAAATCATCGAATTTGTGACTTCAAGTAAGTTTCTCAAAACTGTTATATTTTGTGTATTTTAACATGTTCAATCGTAAAATCATCGAATTTGTGACTTCAAGTAAGTTTCTCAAAACTGTTATATTTTGTGTATTTTAACATGTTCGATCGTAAGATCATCGAATTTGTGACTTCAAGTAAGTCTCTCAAAGCTGTTATATTTTGTGTATTTTAACATGTTCGATCGTAAAATCATCGCATTTGTGACTTCAAGTAAGTTTCTCAAAACTGTTATATTTTGTGTATTTTAACATGTTCGATCGTAAAATCATCGAATTTGTGACTTCAAGTAAGTTTCTCCAAACTGTTATATTTTGTATTTTTTAACATGTTTGATCGTAAAATCATCGAATTTGTGACTTCAAGTAAGTTTTTCAAAACTGTTATATTTTGTGTATTTTAACATGTTCGATCGTAAATCATCGAATTTGATACTTCAAGTAAGTTTCTCAAAAACTGTTATATTTTGTATATTTTAACATGTACGATCGTAAAACCATCGAATTTGTGACTTCAAGTAAGTTTTTCAAAACTGTTATATTTTGTATTTTTTAACATGTTCGATCGTAAAATCATCGAATTTGTGACTTCAAGTAAGTTTCTCAAAGCTGTTATATTTTGTGTACTTTAACATGTTCGATCGTAAAATCATCGCATTTGTGACTTCAAGTAAGTTTCTCAAAACTGTTATATTTTGTGTATTTTAACATGTTCGTTCGTAAAATCATCGAATTTGTGACTTCAAGTAAGTTTTTCAAAACTGTTATATTTTGTGTATTTTATCATGTTCGATCGTAAAACCATCGAATTTGTGACTTCAAGTAAGTTTTTCAGAACTGTTATATTTTGTGTATTTTAACATGTTCGTTCGTAAAATCATCGAATTTGTGACTTCAAGTAAGTTTCTCAAAACTGTTATATTTTGTGTATTTTAACATGTTCGATCGTAAGATCATCGAATTTGTGACTTCAAGTAAGTTTTTCAAAACTGTTATATTTTGTGTATTTTAACATGTTCGATCGCAAAATCATCGAATTTGTGACTTCAAGTAAGTTTCTCAAAACTGTTATATTTTGTGTATTTTAACATGTTCAATCGTAAAATCATCGAATTTGTGACTTCAAGTAAGTTTCTCAAAACTGTTATATTTTGTGTATTTTAACATGTTCGATCGTAAGATCATCGAATTTGTGACTTCAAGTAAGTCTCTCAAAGCTGTTATATTTTGTGTATTTTAACATGTTCGATCGTAAAATCATCGCATTTGTGACTTCAAGTAAGTTTCTCAAAACTGTTATATTTTGTGTATTTTAACATGTTCGATCGTAAAATCATCGAATTTGTGACTTCAAGTAAGTTTCTCCAAACTGTTATATTTTGTATTTTTTAACATGTTTGATCGTAAAATCATCGAATTTGTGACTTCAAGTAAGTTTTTTCAAAACTGTCATATTTTGTGTATTTTAACATGTTCGATCGTAAAATCATCGAATTTGTGACTTCAAGTAAGTTTTTCAAAACTGTTATATTTTGTGCATTTTAACATGTTCGATCGTAAAATCATCGAATTTGTGATTTCAAGTAAGTTCTCAAAACTGTTATATTTTGTGTATTTTAACATGTTCGATCGTAAAATCATCGAATTTGTGACTTCAAGTAAGTTTCTCAAAACTGTTATATTTTGTGTATTTAAACATGTTCGATCGTAAAATCATCGAATTTGTGACCTCAAGTTAGTTTTTCAAAACTGTTATATTTTGTATATTTTAACATGTTCGATCGTAAAATCATCGAATTTGTGACTTCAAGTAAGTTTCTCAAAACTGTTATATTTTGTGTATTTTAACATGTTCGATTGTAAAATCAATTTGTGACTTCAAGTAAGTTTCTCAAAGCTGTTATATTTTGTGTACTTTAACATGTTCGATCGTAAAATCATCGCATTTGTGACTTCAAGTAAGTTTCTCAAAACTGTTATATTTTGTGTATTTTAACATGTTCGTTCGTAAAATCATCGAATTTGTGACTTCAAGTAAGTTTTTCAAAACTGTTATATTTTGTGTATTTTATCATGTTCGATCGTAAAACCATCGAATTTGTGACTTCAAGTAAGTTTTTCAGAACTGTTATATTTTGTGTATTTTAACATGTTCGTTCGTAAAATCATCGAATTTGTGACTTCAAGTAAGTTTCTCAAAACTGTTATATTTTGTGTATTTTAACATGTTCGATCGTAAGATCATCGAATTTGTGACTTCAAGTAAGTTTTTCAAAACTGTTATATTTTGTGTATTTTAACATGTTCGATCGCAAAATCATCGAATTTGTGACTTCAAGTAAGTTTCTCAAAACTGTTATATTTTGTGTATTTTAACATGTTCAATCGTAAAATCATCGAATTTGTGACTTCAAGTAAGTTTCTCAAAACTGTTATATTTTGTGTATTTTAACATGTTCGATCGTAAGATCATCGAATTTGTGACTTCAAGTAAGTCTCTCAAAGCTGTTATATTTTGTGTATTTTAACATGTTCGATCGTAAAATCATCGCATTTGTGACTTCAAGTAAGTTTCTCAAAACTGTTATATTTTGTGTATTTTAACATGTTCGATCGTAAAATCATCGAATTTGTGACTTCAAGTAAGTTTCTCCAAACTGTTATATTTTGTATTTTTTAACATGTTTGATCGTAAAATCATCGAATTTGTGACTTCAAGTA